GTAAATCCTCGCTAAAGCAGTAGCAGCAGGGATATCAGCAGGAAGTTTAGACTTCCAAACAGTTTCTTTGCATTCAAAACATCTCTGGCATCACCTTATAATTTTTCTACAGGTTGAACATCTTCCTCGACCTCGTCATTAACACATTGAGTTGCTGCTACTATTTTTCTTTGTAAACTATGACAATCTATATCCTCATGGCCTTGGCGCTTACAATGGCAATAATATGATGGGACTGTTGGCGCTTACAATGGTCTTGGCGCTTACAAACACACATTTACTATTATTATTGATGTGATCTTATAAATTTTGTACTTCAAAAACTAGTCATTTAAAAGTAGTTACAGTAGTAAATAGATGAAGTGTTGGTTGAAGATAACCTCAATTTTCTTACTTGTTGAAGTATTGGTTGAAGATGCTTATTTTTTTCCTTACCCTCTAACTATTGTTATCCTCTAAATATTGTTATGTCTTTTGAATTTGTAGGTGAAGAAAATGAACAAATGGGAGATGAAAGCAGTGAAGACCTTACTTAAAGAGTATTGGTTGATCTACACCTTCAGATGTTTTGGGACTGTTCTTATTTTTGAATATTTTGCAAACTTATATGCAATCTAACTCTTGAATTGTTAGGCAATATTCTCTTATATTTGGATAATACTAGTTGGATATTTTGGATGATGATTTTGTTGATGAATATAGTTTCCTTTCATGGTTTGTATAAATTCTAGCGTATTATAGTTTACTCTATTACAATAGCTCGTAAAAATTATTGCAATAGTTTGTAATAAATGTTGTAATAGCTCGAAAAATCGTTGCAATAGCTGAAATAACTGTTACAGTAGCTTGTAATGACCATTGCAATAGATCATAATAACTGTTGCAATAAATAAGCTAAACTATATCAACAAACTGTTCCAGTAGGTCAATTCCATCGGTTTTGCACCGTTATAATAGTCGTATTGCAACGGTTCATAATCGTTGCGACATCTTTTAATAATCATTGTATTAGGCTACAGTAAGACCGTTGCGATAGATACAGCTATGACCACGGCTCCGAAAACATTACAAAAAACCGTTGCAACAGACCAATTGCAACACCTTATCTTGCAACGGAGCCCAAACCGTCGCAATAGGACTATCGCAACGGTTTTCCTATATTTGGCAACGATTTTATCGGTGTTGCCATAGGCCATTTTTCTTGTAGTGCTCCCTCGTCAAATCAAGTTCAGCATTCTCTTCCTCCTCATTATCACCCTCGTCATGGAAGGGTATGTCATCTCCAGACTCATCGGCATTTTTGTCATAATCACTATTCTGTTCCTAATTCTGCGCATCTGCCACATCCCGATTAAATATGTCATCTTCGGGAAATTGAGTAAGGACATGACCATCAAGTTGCTCGTTTTCACTGCACAACCAAAGAATTAATGAGTTACTCAAATTGGTCCAAACAATACATATAACTTTATATATTCACTTACAAATCATAATTTGTTTATATCCCATGATGCGCATTATCTTGTTGATGCTGACTCCCGGATGGACCACCATAATCCAACACACAAAAACTAGGCATATTCTAACTGGCCGTTGGTTCATAACTTGTAAAATTCATATCTGGTCAGTATCCCCTGTGGATTATATGAGTGTTAATACAAGTATAATACACAAAAATATACATCGTAACACAAACGAAAGTTGAAGTTTACCACTCGGCTCGTTGATTATGTAAACTAGGGAAGAAATTATTTTCTCGCTCCTCGTTCGCCCGTGGAGATAAGTTTAGATCCGACCAAACTCTTTCAGCCGGAACCTGTTCGGCTAAAACTACTCCAAAATAACCACCCGATGATTGAGGAATATCCCTACTTTGCGCAACCTCATTATTGCGGACGTCTTCAGCCTTGACGTACATTTCCAACAGTTTTATCACAATAAATTCCCGGTATTCATCCGGAGTCCTCAAAAAATCTCTGAGAGTTTCATCATCTTCAATGTTAAACTCAGCATAACAAGCAACCCCTTGCGGAGTCACAGAATACGGATATCTTTCGGTTATTTTAATATTCACCGAACGTTTGCTCACACTCATTTTTTTACATAACGACAATACCAATGTATCGTACTCCAAGTGGTAACTTAACATGAGACTATGGAGATAAACTATAGCTTACTGAGTTATTCGCCACCACAACCTCACCCCCCGAATATAATGAAACCCTAATTCTTCGCTCTTCAGACATTATGACAAAATGCAAAACAAATTAACAAAGAAAAATTTCACAAGACTTGAGAATATTTCTGAATGGATTTTTACAAAATTCTTAACGTCTTTAAATAAGGCAAAAACCAGTCCGGGGTTCANTAAGACGACTTAAAAAATAATATATATATATATATATATATATATATATATATAGCGTCTTAGTGAAGAACGCTATATATATAGCGTCTTTTTAAAAGACGCTATATATAGTTTGGTCACTATGCTTTTTTTCCACACACTTTTGTTCTTTGAGTCCAAAAGAACCACATTTTGGTTCCGAACTCGTGCTGCATCTGTACAGCTAATATTATGTACTAAATGATTCTGTTTTCTTCTCTAGTCCCTTTCGAAATGATATTGTTCTGAACAAACGGCATTGAATGAATTCTCCAATAAGGTTTGAGTGCTTTTGGCAGCCGATTTCCCAGAATGCTGAACCCTACTATTTCCCTCAAAAATTACATCATGAATAGTTTAACCAATTTGATGTTTGTGTACGTGATTAAATCCACATGCTATGTATCACTTCAATTTTATTGAAAAAGCATTTTCCTCATGATGTAAGTACACAACCAACTATGATAGGTATCTTTGCTTTTGATGTGTGATTAGGGGTGGAGTAAGGCGGAGGCAGAGTCCGGAATCAAAATATTACAAATTTTGACTCAAGCGACAAAAATAGGTGGAAAAAAGTGTTGAGAATCATATTAAATTATATATAACAGATTTAAAACATGTGCTATACCTTAACAACCAGTTACTTATACTCAGTATTTGCAGTCATAATAATTCACTGCATAGCGCATCTATTTTTTGCGTTATGTATCATATTTGATTATTTCTTGTTATAGAACCAGATCACAATACTTGCTATTGATCTCGATCATTCATCAATAAGGCTTCAACTATTTTTGACAAAGAGATAACTTCATTGAAATATGATTCTTGTTTAGTCTTGGCCCCTCGGTTTTCTAATCAGCTACAAAAGAACCCTCCCTTATGACAATGTGAATTCATTAAAATAATACCTACCACAAACGAAAAAAGAATGTTAATTTACTAATAATGGACGGCTTAGAGAAGCTTTTGGAAGTTGGAAGAAGCCTGTGATCCATCAAAATAGAGGTGGTCATTGTAATTACAGAAATAACAGAAGCCAACCAATTCATTGAGAGGCCTTAACACTCTTTATTTCTCAAACAAGTTACTTGGTTATTTTTAATGTCAAATGGAACCAGATGAACTTTCAAAGTGATGCATAGCGCATATAGTTAATGCGCTATGCAGTCAATCACTATGGCTGCAAATATTGAGTATAGCGCATATATTATATGCGCTATATCTTGACAAGGTAACTGACCCTTAAGGTATAGCGCATATTTTAGATGCTTTATACATAATATGGTCCTCAATATTTTTTTCTGCCTATTCTTGTCTCTTGAGTAAAAATTTACAATATTTTAGTTCCAGACTCGGTGGAGCAAGGCTTAAAAACCTTTTTAAAGTAAAAAATATATTGTGCAAATAGGGTAAATGAATTTTTAAAATTATGTATAAATTAAGAGTCGTTTGGTACGCAGGATAAGGTAGGATAAAGTGTGGTACTAAATTTATATTATGTTTGGTTGATGGTTAAATTAATTCCATGATAAATTTATACTGTCAACCAAACATAGTATAAACTTAGTCCAAATTTAATCTTAGATATCCCATCTTATCCCATCAAACTTGGTATTATTTTATCTCACCTTCGGGTGAAAGCATAAATTGAAAAGTCATTAATAAATTGATTAACACACACTAATTGAGGTTTTCATATTAAGGACCTTTGCCTTAATATTGTTGAAAGTATAATTGAAGTGTTTAAAAAAAGAGATCTTTACCGTACTATTAGAAAATGATAGAGAGCAGAGTGTCGGTACGAGAAAAGCAACAGTTTATTTCAAGCTTCTGATTGAGACTTGAGAATGTTGAAAAGGGTTGGCTTGCTACAAGATTCAATAAAATTTTGGTCACACAAATTTTATGGATTATTTAAGGTTATGCGTTTCAAAAGTTTTATAATTTATACTAAATTAAAAGGAGGAAAAGAGGCCTGTAGGATTATTTTTATCCTTTATCTATACTATTGAATATAAAATATCCCTTATCTTTGTAAAAGTGTACAATTTTAATCTATTCCGTAACAGAGTTTGCAAAACTAACGGATATGAGGTCTGTTTAGGTTAAAAGTAATAGAGTTTTAACCCATCCAAACCCAGTTCAAAATAACTAACTCTCTCTCTCTTCAACCGTCGACCCCTCTTCCCCAAATTTCCAATCATACTGGACCTCCTTTCTCCCAAAATCCCTACGAATCCCACCTCTATAATGTTGAAGATAGGATCCCTATTCAGCGAGTCGTGGACTTTGTATCTAGCTAATCGTCCTGGACTTTGTATCTAGCTAATCGTCATTTTCAATTTGGTTCATTTAATTTGAGTTATATAGTTCATCTTCCATTGGAACAACGATGTCTTCCAAGAACCAGTATTTCTTTTCAGGCATAAGGATTAGAAATAGATGACTTAAGTCCAGCAAGAAGGAAAATAAGTAAATGAATATAAAAAATTCTGCAAAAAGGAGAAATTCTGCTCCATCGCGAACCTAACTACGGACTGCAACTTAAAAATTTCTGCAATACAAAAATTTCTGCACAACGAAATTTCTGCAAATCTGAAAATTTTTGCAATAAGAAAAAATTTCTGCAATTTGTAATCAGTTCTAAAATTACATGATGCATTAAAGTATTGAAACATAGTTATAGCAATTTGCTCAAAACATGAACTACATATTGTATATGACTAGAAACAACAAAAAATATGACTAAACAGCATCCCTGCTTCAAAATCTTCGACGCTTCCTAAACAGCAGCAAATGTGACTAGAACAATGTCCACGACACAGCATCTAAGAATTCCAACAGTAGAATGTCTTCAATAGTAGTGAGAACTAACCTGTTCTACTTCTCCTGTTCTAACCTACAAAATACAGAAATATGGTTTAATGTGTAACATGTAAATGGAACTTATTTGAGTAGTTTTAACAGTTTCATATTCTATTCAGCTGCCAAAAGAAAAAATAGCAGCAACCGTCAGTTAAACGCCATCCAAAAATAGCAGCAAAAGTAATTCAGAGAGCATCCAACTTTTACCTCATTTAATTCTCCTCTTCTAACCTACAAAATAGAGAAAACATGGTTTAACTTTTAACTTGTAAATAGAAAGGCGACTTAAAAATTACATCAGATTTCAAATATTATACCGGCAATTTTTCAGGATGTGATGATGTAGTTGATTGCCACAAGACTGGTTCATTTAGGTAAGTTTCTGTTTCCACATAGCTAAACTTGCAAGTTCTCTTGTTGTGACCAGGCTTATGACAAATGCTACATTCAATAGTTGTTTGCTTCCTCTTCATCCTTGTTCTGCTCGCTCCAGCTTCACCATATTCCTTTTTCCTCAATTTTTGCTTTCTTCCTCTCTTCTGTTTCACATTCTTTGGAGGCAAAGGAGGAATCTTACAAGATTTAGGCCACAACTGTGATCCATTAATTGGAAGAATAGCATATTCATAAATTCTCCTATATGTTTCCACCATGTAGTAGTCATCGACGTATTTAATTACCTCATCATTTTTAGCCCAAATTGCTGAAATGGCATGCTTGCAAGGATATCCTGTTATCGTCCACTTCCTACAACTACATGTTTTGTTATGTAGGTCCACTGCCCAATTATCATCCATGCTCTCTCCAAGGATTTCATAATTCCACTTATTTGATTTTTGAGGAATAAACGCAGCTGCTGCCGCCTCATTTTTGTGTAAAATATCCTTGATTCTAGGGCAAACATCACCCAAATTCCATTTTTCTCCTTTATCCCTGTTAGCTTGTATCCGAGCCATCAATATGTATCTTAATTTCTCTAACAATGTTATAATGGGCTTGTCTCGGGCCTCAAGTATCATGCTATTAAAGGATTCACACATGTTATTCAACAAGATATCACACTTAGCATTTGGATTGAAGTGAGATCTAGACCATTCACTTGGTGGTTTGTCATTTAACCAAGAAACAACATCTGCATCTAAATTTAAAAGGTCAGACATGCGATCATGAAAGAACTTCACCGTCGTAGACTTTGCAGCAGCCCAAAGTGCATTCCTTAAGGAGAAACCACTAAAGCCAGCCCTCCTAAAATTGCCATAGAGGTGTCTCACGCAGAATCTATGACTGACGAATGGCAACACATCGTTAAATGCTTCAAGAAGACCTTCAATAAAAAAAGATCATATTTTTTAGTAAGAGTTTCAAACTAAAATGTTGAAGCAAGCAAAACTTGAATATAAAAGCAACTCAAATCCAATAAACTGAATATAAATGCTTCAAGAAGACCTTTTTGCTTATCTGACATGAAAGTCCAACCACCATGATCATCAATATCCAAATCAATAGACAAGTAGTTCAAAAACCATGACCACGTATCCCGTGTTTCCTTTTCAACAACTGCATATGCGATTGGGAATATGTTATTATTAGCATCAAGCCCAACTGCTGTTAACAATTGAGTTCCATACATCGGGCCCTTTAACCAACAACCATCTACACCAACTATCTTTCTACAACAGGCCTTGAAGCCTTCCTTACAAGCAGCAAAGCATATATAAATTCTCTGAAATATATATGGCTTGTTAGCTATTTCATTTTCTGTTAATTTCACATGAATCGAACTACCTGGATTTGTCCTTTCAAGCTCATCGATGTAGTCCCACATCATAGCAAATTGATCTTTAATATCACCATCAAGCAACGCGATGGCCTTTCTTTTAGCCCTTCTAGCTTGAGGTAAACTAATATGAGCTTTAAGTTGCCGACTAATTGTATCTCTGAATTTAGAAACTTTCAGATCCCTGTTTGAACTGATGGTATCCAGATATCTCCTTGCAATAAAAGAAGATGTGATCGTCTTATTACGATGATACCAATTTTTACAACTATGCTCAGGGTTGTAAGTTTTTATTTGAAATCCCTTGTCCCTGTGCATTCTTGATGCCATAATTTCCCACTCACAAGTCGGATGTATGCACTTACCTCTTATTCTTATCTTGTCATTTTTGCACCACTTGATATACTTTCCAGCTTGTATTTCGTGAGTTTCCACGGCATACTTAAACTCTTTTTTGTTTCCAAATGTATATTCAAGAGCAAGTACAGGATTCTTCTCATCAGTTTTAGGATTGTACTTAGGAAAATCAAAACTCTCATTGTCTGAATCACTATCCAAGCTTAAAGTGTCCGAAGAATTCACGCAATCAGAATCCCCTTCTTCATTTGACAACTTCTTTTGAACCTCGGCACTAAAACCTTCAACGCGTTGTTTTCCAGTAACTCCCTTATCAAGCATTGGATTGAAATCTGATAGTTCATTTTCAGAATCATCAAACTCATCACTACTAGACGAGTTTGACGTTTCAACCAGTTTCTCAGTAATTCCAACATTTTGTTGCATATTTTCAATGTTGATTGTTTGATCTTCATTCTCAAGTTCTATCTCTGCCATTTCAAAGTAATAGTCCAGATGCTCAAAATATATCTCAACTATATTATCTTTGGGAATTGATTCGGCAATTCTGCTAGCTTTAACTTCAGTTGATACTAGTCTCAATATGTTACCAAACATACCACATTTGTGCCAGAATATCACTGAATCATTGACGTAACCACAAATCTCGGCCATCTTCCTCAACTCTATCATATTAAGATCTGTTGGTTTCACATAGTCAAAGTAGTCGACCACACCTCTAACATAGTGTTTAGTTGGCCGATGCTTCATCAAACCCCTATGATATACCTTAATGCTGAAACATGACGCCGCAATTACAGAGTCTGTCAAGAATAAAAACCATATTTTTAATAGGATTTCAAACCAAAATACTTTGAAGCAAGCAGAACTGAATATAAAAGCAACTCAAAAAATAAACAAAGAAGTTCTAATTATACTTTTGTAAAGGCAAGCAGAAACAAAATTAAAAAGTAACTTATAATCTAACAAGATTTAGTTTCCTATGTAGAAATAAGATTAAAAAAATATAAAGTACCCAAATTTAGCCTACTTTGATACGAATCATCAAACAAAAACAAGAATCAGGGTAAAAACTTATAAAGCAAAGATTCTGAAAACTAGTTGGTAAAAATAGATTCTCACCATAAGATGGGCTTGCTTCTATTGCACAGTTCCTCTTGATGTACATGGCTGGTGATGGAGAATAAAGATAGACAATGGAAGAGTTTTGATTTTAGAAGAACGATTCTGGCGCCAAAGCAAAGTGAAGAACGATGTTGGCGCCAAAGCAAAGAGAAGGAACTAGGGATTTTCCCTTCTCCCGCGTTGTTTTCAGTTTTTAGTTTAACAGCGTTTATTTTAACTCTATTTAAGATTTTTCAGTCAGTTTTTTAACCTTTGTTAAGGGCTAGACTATATTTGTCCACTTTTACAAAGATAAGGGATATTTTATATTTAGTAATATAGATAAGGGACAAAAATACTCTCATAGGCATATTTAAAGGACTACCTAAGTCTTTTCCTCAAATTAAAAGTGGGAAGTTATTAAATTCAAAAGTTAATTACTTTTTTTACCTTTTTTAAAAATCTATTATTCTACTTATTTAAAAAATTAAAATATTTAAATAAAAAGAAGGAAAAATTATTCTGAAGAGGTGTGTATGTTGGAACGTTTCACATTGGTAATGAAAAGTTTTGTTTAACCATGCCTTTTCATGCACTCATTTACAATAAGTGGGAAGTTATTAAAGTCAAAAGTTAATTACTTTTTTACCCTTTTTAAAAATCTATTATTCTACTTATTTAAAAAATTAAAATATTTAAATAAAAAGAAGGAAAAATTATTCTGAAGAGGTGTGTATGTTGGAACGTTTCACATTGGTAATGAAAAGTTTTGTTTAACCATGCCTTTTCATGCACTCATTTACAATAAACAAAAATCAGGCGCATCCCTCCTATATGTAAATGCCACCTACAATCTTTCACTTCTCACAAAGCTTGTTAATCCGTTTTTGTTTCTGTCTCCGTTCCATTTTAATTGATTTTTAGTCTTTTTTTGTGATCCACAATATTTGATTATTTTCAGATAAAAAAAAGGAGTTAACTTTTTTTTTTCAAAGTTGTTCTTAGCATATGAGGGTCAAAGTGTTACATAATAAGACTAGGGGTGTTCAAGTTAGCTAAAAAGGAAAATTAGTTTGTTATGTTAGTTAATTGACAGTTGTACTGCTGTACATGTGATGTCATCTAGGTAGTGGAGAAGCTGTATATACAGCCTTGTATGTAACGAGAGAAAATAGAATTTCATAATACAATTTAATTTTCTCTTCTTCCTTCTCAATTCTCTCTCACAACTGAACATGGTATCAGAGTGGGCTTTAATGGGACTCTAGCTCCGATCCAGTTCCGGCGAGATTCAACTTTAAGGCAGGAACACAGAAGTGAAATACAGAGCAAAGGAATACTGAAATTCTGAGCTCAATTTTTCAAAGAAGCCATGGCAGAAAATGAAGTCAGCTCACTCGATCATAATCATCCGTTGTTTTTGCAAGCTTCAGACGCTCCTGGATTAGTCTTAATTCCGCTCAAGCTCACAGGCCTAGAAAATTACGCACTGTGAAGCAGGGCGATGAAATTGGCACTCCGGAAGAAAAGCAAGCTTAGATTTGTGGATGGATCGTGTGTAAAAGGTATGTATAAAGGTGCATTAGCAGAGCAATGGAAAAAATATAATGCAATTGTCCTATCGTGGATTGGTAGCACTGTATCAAATGAGTTGATGCCTAGTATTGTCTATCCATCGAATGCAAAGAAGGTATGGGCTGACTTCCAGGAAAGGTTTGATAGGTCAAATTTAACAAGGATATATCATCTTTGGACTGCTATTGCGACCTTGAGACAAGGAACAGACTCGGTCACTAGCTATTATTCGAAGATGAAGGACCTATGGGATGAACTGGATGTCATAGCACCTTTGGCTTCATGTGATTGTGAGGAGTCTAGGCCTTCAGTGGAACTTCTGAAAAACATTCATTTATTATAGTTTCTCATGGGATTGAACGAGAGCTATGGTAACATTCGAAGTAATGTCTTGGCAAAAAGGCATGTAATTATAGTGAATGAAGCCTATGCAATAGTTACACAAGAAGAAAGTCAAAGGACCCTAGGAGTCACAGATACATTGAAAGATCCTCTTACAATGCTGGCTGGAAAAGGTTATGAGTTTAAGCCTAAAAGGATAGGATTAATCTGTGATCACTGTGGTTACAAAGGACATTTAAAGGAAAACTGCTACAAGATAGTGGGATATCCACCAGATTTCAAAAGCAAGAAGAAAGGGCAAAACTCAAGAGGCAAAACTTATGTGAACAGTGCAACTAGTGAAGAGAAGCATGTGCCAATGATCCCCACACAAGGAAATTTCTTCACTGAGGAGCAATACAAACAACTGGTAAATTTGTTGCAGAAGACTACCACAGATGAGTGTTGCACTAATACTGCAGGTATCTTTACTTTAATGTCAAATGCAGGTGTTAGTGATCAAGATTGGATAGTGAATTCAGGTGCTACTCACCATGTGACACATTGTAAGAATGCCTTAAATAACCTTAGAAAGGCAGATCATAGAGCAGATGGAGTACAGTTGCCTACAGGCAGTAGAGCAGAAATTACACATACAGGAGATGCAGTAGTTTTAGGGAATAAAACTATTGAGGGAGTATTGTATGTGCCAGACTTCAAATTCAACATATTGTCAGTGTCTAAGCTCACTAGGAAATTATGTTGCTCAGTTGGATTTTATCCTGATTTTTGTATATTTCAGGGTCTTTACAATGGCAAGGTGATGGGGATTGGTAGAGAAAATAATGGGTTGTACCTAATAAGAGAAAATTTGTCAATAGCAGCAATCAGTTTCTTGAAGGAGCATGGAGAAACAACACTACGGCGTCTAAGGCTTGGTCATGCATCAACCAAGGCAATGCAGCATATTTCAGAACTGAAGAATAAGATACAGACAGGTAGAGGAAACAACTGTGAAGTATGTCCCTTAGCAAGACAGTGTCGATTACAATTTCCAACTAGTAGCACTAGATCAAGTAGTTGTTTTCAACTCGTACACATGGATGTTTAGGGACCTCATAAGGTACCTAAATATGACAGAAAGCTTTATTTTATCACAACAGTATATGATTACAGCAGGTTTACTTGGGTATGCCTAATACAGTCTAAATGTGAAGTAGTTACTGTGATTAAAAACTTTCTTGCAATGATAAAGACTCAATTTGAAGCTACTGTGAAGATTGTTAGATCAGATAATGGTACAGAGTTTTTCAACTCTCAGTGCAATACTTTATTTGATTCTCTGGGAATTATACACCAAAGTAGTTGTCCATACACCCCACAACAAAATGGGATGGTTGAACGAAAGCATAGGCATATACTGGAGGTTGCAAGAGCCTTGAAATTTCAAAGCTCAATTCCTAAGAGATTTTGGGGTGACTGTGTAAGAACAGCAGTGTATTTGATAAATAAGCTGCCTACTAGTATCTTGCAAGGAAAATCTCCTTATGAATTGTTGTTTAGAAAGCCAGCTAAAATAGATCACTTAAGGGTGTTTGGTTGCTTATGTTATGCAAGTAACTTACCTAAGGGTGATATGTTTGCAGCTAGAGCTAAGAAGGCTGTTCTCATTGGATACACAGAAGGGTTATAGGTTATATGATTTAGAGAATAGAAGCATCTTTGTTAGCAGAGATGTGGTCTTTAAGGAGCAGAGTTTTCCTTTTGAGAAAGATGTTGATTCAGACTGTACAGAGGGTTTATTTGCTTCACAACCTCCAGTTGTGGAAGAAACTAGACATCAACCACAAGCTCCTATGATTACAACTCCACCTCAGAGCATACAAGTGCCAGTTAATGCAAATGGCACCATAGAGGTAGAGACTGCTGATATGGATTTGGTCACAGACCATGCAGAATGTAGTGATAATCATGAAGCTTCAGATAATCTGGATCCAGCCATAGTTCATGTAGAGTCTGATATGCACCATGAGATCCCAGCAGATGATGCAGCAAATGAGAATCTCTTTCCTATCATCTTGGAACCAGAAGTTGAGACAAGCATAGAAGAGGCAGGATCAGAAGATGTACACTCACAGTCACCATCTATAGAGGGACAGACTAGGAAATCTAATCGACAAGGAAAGGGAAGGCCTCCTGTATGGCTTAAGGATTACATCACTAAGGCCAAGACACATACAAATACTATTCTATCTCCTGCTTACCAGTCATTCCTCAATGTTTTTTCAGTTTTAACTGAACCACAATCCTTCAAGGAAGCTGCACATGATCCAAGGTGGATAGAAGCCATAGATCAAGAAATTAGAGCGCTTGAAGAAAACCATACATGGGAAAGGGGTTATTTACCAAAAGGAAAGAAACATATTGGTTCTAAATGGGTGTTTAAGATCAAGTATAAGTCATCTGGTGAGATTGACAAGTTTAAGGCACGGCTGGTAGCTAAAGGATACACACAACAAGAAGGGCTAGACTATCATGAGACTTTTTCACCAGTTTCCAAAAATGGTAACTGCGAGAACTGTCTTAAGCATAGTAGCCTCAAAAGGATGGATCCTCTATCAAATAGATGTCAATAATGCATTCCTCCAAGGGGATCTTTATGAAGAAGTTTACATGGTTTTGCCACAGGGTTTCAAACAACAGGGGAAGAACAAAGTCTGCAGATTGTTGAAGTCACTCTATGGGCTGAAACAGGCTTCAAGACAATGGAATATTAAACTTACAGATGCCTTAGTGGGAGCAGGGTATCAACAGAGTGCATATGATCATTCTCTATTCACCAAACAGACATCACACGACATTGTGATTATATTGGTGTATGTTGATGATCTCTTGATTACAGGCAGTAATATTTCCTTAGTAGAAAAGGCCAAAAACACATTGCATAACAGCTTTAAGGTAAAGGATTTGGGTGAACTCAGATATTTTTTTGGGGATTGAGGTGATGAGATCAGATCAAGGAATATTGTCGAACTAACAAAAATATGCACTGGAGTTAATCTCTTCCACAGGCTTGGCTGCTGCTAAACCAGCATCTACCCCTATTGAGTTAAATCAGAAATTGACCACTACAGAGTATGACAAACATGTTGGGCACAATGGTGATGAAGAGTTGCAAGATGTGGGGAGCTATCAAAGACTAGTAGGGCAGTTACTCTATTTAACCATTACACGACCTGATATTTGTTTTGCTGTGCAAGTTCATAGCCAATTCATGCAGCATCCCAAACAATCACACTTAACTGCAGCACTTCGAGTGGTTAGGTATATTAGGGGTCACCTGGTCTTGGCATTTTCCTCAAAAAGGTCCTATCACCCACCTTTCTGCCTTCTGTGATTCAGACTGGGCAGCTTACCCAAACACACGAAGGTCGATCACTGAATATGATGTTAAGCTTGGGGATTCCTTGTTGTCATGGAAGTCAAAGAAGAAGCAGACAGTGAGTCTGTGATGACCCGGCCCGTCGTCACGTGACTCACCTCCCCGATTTCCCCATTTTCTGCTTCCTTATCTTTTACTATAAGAGTCTTGAGTGAATGAGTCGATTTGGATTGGTTTTGGATGGAAATGAGACACATAGTCTCTTTAAGGAAGGTTTGCCTTGGAAAAGTCAATCGGATGTTGACTTATGAGTTAGAGGGCTCGGATGTGATTTCCGGTGATTCGGTTAGCTTCGGGGGATGATTTGTGACTTAGGAGCGTGATCGAAATTGGTTTCGGAGGTCCGGTGTAGAATTAGGCTTGAATTGGCGAAGTTAGTATTTTGGCGAATTCCGGTTGTTAGGTGAGATTTTGATCCGAGGGTTGGAAAGGGATTCCGAGAGTTGCCATAGCTTCTTTAGGAGATTTTGGATATGTGTGCAAAATTTCAGATCATTCGGAGGTGTTTTGGTAGGGTTTTTGATCAAATGCGTAATTCGAAAGTTTTGGAAGAACCTAGGCTTGAATCCGATGTAATTTGAGGGTTTTGGTGTTAATTATGGTATTTTGATGATTAGAGCAAGTTTGAATGATGTTTTAATATGGATTGGCACTTTGGGTTGAGGTCCCGGGGGCCTCGGGGTGATTTTTATAGCCATCGGGATGAAATTTGGACTTATGAGATTGCTGGTATGCCTGGTTTCCGGTATCTCCGCATCTGCGGAAGAGGAACCGCAGATGCGGTTGTGCAGGTGCGGAAGAAAGAGCGCAAAAGCGGTCATTGGCCTGGATGGAAGGATCCGCAGATGCGGTAGGTAAGCCGCATCTGCGAGGCCGCAGATGTGGTAAAATAGTCGCAGGTGGGTAAAGATGAGGCATTGGTGCTTCCGCAAAAGCGGCCAAGTATCCGCAGAAGCGGGGTCCGCATATGCGGATAGGGGACCGCAGAAGCGGTCGTTGGTTTAATGAAAATCCGCAGAAGTGGAATTTTAACCGCAGAAGCCGTAGCCGCAAATGCGGTAAAGGAACCGCAGATGCGGAAATCACTGTTCTCATAAGGGTTTTAAAGCTTATTTTGTTCCGCGAGCTTAAGTCCATTTCCACCTTTTTTGATCGACCTTGAGAGCTCTTGGACGGAATTTGAAGGGGATTTCGACTAGGTGTGATTGGAGGTGAGTTCCTTGGCCTAAATACATGAATTAATGGTAGAATTTGCATTGAAATTTGTGGAAATTCATCAAAAGAGGGTGAAGCTAGGGCTTGAGAATTTGGTATTTCAAAGTGGAATTTGAGGGGTCAAATGGACTCCGATTTTTGTAATTTTGATATGTATAGACTCGTGGCGAGATAAGGAATCCGGTGATGTTAATTTTCTGATTTTTCGAGAAGTGGGCCCGGGGCTCGGGTTTTGTCAACTTCGTGAATTTCGATGTTTTTTGAGTCTTTTCGATTGGGTTATATTCCCTTAGCGTATTGTAACGTATTCGTTGTGGTTTTGGCCAGATTCGACGCGCGAGGAGGTTGATTTGCGAGATAACGGCATAGCGGGTTAGGACTTTGGCCGGCTTGAGGTGAGTAATGGTTATAAATGATGTCCTGAGGGTTTGAAACCCCGGATTTGCACAACGTAGTGCTATGTTGAGGTGAGACACACGTTGCATGTCGATCGTGGGGTCCATTACTGCTGGGGATTTGGACTTGGTCCATCCCGATTGATGATCCTACTGTATTTTTGACTGAGGCTTAATTAATATCATTACAGTTTGGGCTAGTAGCCATGTTTGGGGCCTGGTGCCGACCTGTAGAACCCATAGGGGCATTTGTACTGATTGACCTCACTTTACTTGTTAAAAATCACATCCTCAATCATGTTTCTAACTGTTTAATAAAATATGAACTGGCTTTGAAATGGCTAAACCAAAATGAGAGTAATATGAGGGCTGAAATCCCTATCTTATCTTAGTATGCCCGAGGGGCGAAGTTTATATTGACTGAGAGGGGTTGAGAACCCAATAGTGAGGATGACTGATATATTATATGGATCGGGTTGTACGCCACAACAGTAAACTTATATGGATCGGGCTGCACGCCGCAGCAGTATAGTATGTGGATCGGGCTGCACGCCGCAGCAGTATAGCGCTTGGGCTGTAGGAGTCCCTCCGGAGTCTGCACACCCCCAGTGAGCGCAGTCGACTATTATTATTGGATCGGGCTGCACGCCGCAGCAGTATATATATATATATATATTATGGATCGGGCTGCACGCCGCAGCAGTATATTTACACGATCGGGCTGCACGCCGCAGTGTTATACTATGATTTCGGTTATTGTGAGAAACAAATGAGTTGAGTACTAGCTTAAAGGATTTTCCTGGCTTCTTCATTTCCTTGCTGTTTAAATGTTCTTACTGCTTTGATATAGAACTGCTTAGTGCTCTTTACGAGATTTCTTTCCGTCAGTCATTATTTATTGCTATTACTCACTGAGTCGGAGTACTCACATTACTCCCTGCACCATGTGTGCAAATACAGGTATTCCGGAGGCGTAGATTGAGTTGTCTCTGCTGTTCAGATCTCACCGGAGTCATGGAGGTAGCTGCATGGCGTCCGCAGACCCGATTTCTCCCTCTATCCTCTTTACTTTCAGTATTTTAGACTATCTTTTGTTTAGACTGTTTCTCAGACTTGTATTAGAGGCTCTTGACTCATGACACCGGATCGGTGGGCTTGTAGTGATGTTATTACGTTCTTTTCGCGCATTGTATCCACTGTATCAGAATTGTGTTTATGTTAATTTGGTATTTAAACTCTGTTAATTGGTAACGAACTCTATGTGAGGAATTGAGAGTGCTGGAATGGTCGGGCTTGCCTAGCATTGTGTTGGGCGCCATCACGACCGGGGTTGGGGTCGTGACAGAGTCGTAGCTCAGCTAAAGCTGGATATAGAAGCCTTGTTGCAGTACAGCTGAAGTTACTTGGCTTGTTGGATTGCTGCAAGAATTGAGTATTGAGATACATCAGCCTGTTGATGTCTATTGTGATAGTAAAACTGCACTTCAAATAGCAGCAAATCCTATTTTTCATGAACGAACAAAGCACATCGAGATAGATTGTCACTTTGTTCGAGAAAAAATTAAGGCTGTCCTGCTTGCTCCTCATCACATCTCGACCAAACTTCAGTTGGCTGATCTCATGACAAAGGGACTTGGTGTTGCTCAACCTTCCTTCCTTCTTTCCAAGCTTGGCGTGTTCAATGCTTTCCACCCTCCAGCTTGAGGGGGAGTCTTAGCATATGAGGGTCAAAGTGTACATAATAAGACTAGGGGTGTGCAAGTTAGCTAAAAGGGAAAATTAGTTTGTTATGTTAGTTAATTGACAGTTGTACATGTGTTGTCATCTAAGTAGTGGAGAAGCTGTATATACAGCCTTGTATGTAACGAGAGAAAATAGAATTTCAGAATACAATTTAATTTTCTCTTCTTCCTTCTCAATTCTCTCTCACAACTGAACAGTTGTCCTTGGAGTAAAGAGCCTAGAAGTATTTATTATATTTCTAAAGAACAAACTAAGGTTAATATGATCAATTTTATTATTAATTAATACTAAAAGATGGATTCCTTAATATGTGTGAAAATAACCAAAAAAATCAATTAAAGTGGATCGGAATGAGTATTAAACTTCAAATTTTTTGCGTAAATGCTCGACGCTAAATTTCTACCACTTCTTTCTGTGCTATCAGTAGGAGTGCTTCTGTTGACAAATTTGATTCTAGGAAATTACCCGATGAAATGTATCTCTTGGCGCTGTTTGTGGCTTAAAATGATACAAGGGTGTGAATTCTTTGTTTTTATATCTGTTATTTTGTATTCTTTTGGACTATTAACTATTTTTCGTGTGTATTAAATGAAAGTAAATTATACTTGGTATCTGTTGAAGTACGCTTTTGTATTTTTTTCCCCTTGCATATGCTGGTTTAATTTAGTATCCATAGATTACGACTATAATAATATGTTTTCGGGTTAATTTTTTTCCTTGATCGTTTTTGGAGATTAAAAAAGAAAGATAAGTATGATCTCCTTATGTTTTTCATTTATTTGTTCACGTGAAGGAAAAAGATGTCAAAATAATCATTGGTATTAATTAGTATATTTATGAA